GGCAATTTAAATATCCACATGGTAAATTTACATTTCATATGATGTCGAAAATTGCTGGGTGCTTCGGGAGATGCCAGTTACACATCCAAATGGTAATTTTAGGAAGCACTGGATTGGTGTTTACATGCCATAGGATTCCTGACACGCGACAGACTATCGAATGCAAGAGCGAGTCGTGGGTCTTAGATGAAAGTCCGTGTCGGTTATTTAGTCACCGTTGATAGCAAAGACAATCTATAGATGTAAACAGACCTCGTTCCTTTGAGAAGACATCATCTATCGGCGCGTCCCCTTCCAGAGGTAGCCGATGGGTGAGGGGTAGCTTGCGCGCTCCCGAGCTCGGAGGTTACGGGTTCTACTCCCATCAGGTCTAACAGATATTTCGGTACATCGGCAGGCACCAGCCGCTCTTAGCAGTTGAGAGGGGAACGCCAACAGGTGGGGAACCTGCATATCGTCATTTTTTTCTTCTTACTAACTGATCTACTTTTGCACGTGCAAATTTACCATGTGGATAGGGACATGCGGTCTTACCTATCCACAATTAAAATTACCACTTGGATACGCAAACGTCTAGAATTTATACAAATGGAAGATTACCATGTGGATACGCAAAACATTTTCCCCTATCCATGTCCATGGAAATGTCCCATGCTATGGATAGCGAAATTAGTCAGTAATTGGACCGGGAAATTTACTCATTGCGGTCGGGGAAAGGGGCGTTTACTCATCCACCTGCGCAATTTTGCCCTGAAAATTTCTTACAGTGTGAGCGAGTGAGACGACCGCGAGGACGGCCGTTCGTGTCCGACTTCGCTTTACTTGTTGTGATTTTACTTGATGTTACGATTTGAAAACCTTGAAAATGATAAACGCGTTACGTTTTGTTTATTCAAAGGGTGAGGGCAGGTACGTTGCACATGTGTGCACATGTGTGTGTGATGAGTGAGCTTTGCTTCTATCGTTTGTTGTATTCCTATGTTGTGGTTACCCGATTTCGCGTCGATGAAAAGTTACTTGCACGTTTTGAGAAGGTACTGTATAAACACGTTTTGGTTCTATTTTTAGTGAGTTCTTTACGTAATACATTTTTAAAAGTGATCATGCTGCTGTTTTCAGGAATACAAACGACAGACAAAACTGTTCCAGAAAAAGCAGCACATGATGCTTTCGTGTCGACAAATAAAGGAAGAAATATGTGATGAAAAAGGAAACTTGTCTCGTGAATATACCGTGTCATATGAGGAAAGCAATAACTTGCCGTAACTTTGACGCTGGAAGATGTTACTGATTTTTGCAGTGACCTAGTAGAACTGGTGGTTAACGAAACACTGTAAAAAATGTTGGGAATTTTATCATACGCATGTATAGGAAATTTCCTATAAGTCGTATGGGACGTGAAAATTCCTATAAATGTATAGGAGTTTTCCCATACGTGAAGATTGTATGGGAAATATCCGAAACGAATAGGTTTTATGCCACAAATGTATAGGAAAATTCCCAAACGTGTCCAGGAGGCACATACTACCACACATGTATAGGAAATTTAATAGACGCTGACAATTTTCTTACACACACACAATTTAGAACAGATTAGCACATACGATTTCATTTGCCTTGCGCATCTTCGTCTATTTAGTCATATGATGATCTTTTACTGACGCCTGACGCCACACATTCTTTTGTTTACCCTTGCCGGAGCCTGCATTTGAGGCTCAGTTAACAAAAAGAAATAGATTAGTTTTAAATATGACATTTGATGCTTGGTCCAATGCGAGGTCAGGGCGCAAAATCACATCGTAAATACAAAACCCAACACCAAAACACCAAGTAGGAAATCCCTGAGTGCCGTGGGCTTGCCCCGGTGCCGCGCGCTGCCCGCCG